TATTATTGTACAATCACATTTATAGTTAAGCAACAATTTTCACTATGACATAGAAGGTTATTTCATATTATATTAGAAATACCCTGGGTATCTCATATTTTCACGCCTTACGATTTTACGATCATCAAATCTAACTTTTGTAATTAAGCAATTTAATATATCCCATATTTTTCTATTAGTACAATCTTACTCTATCACATAAAGAATTTGTTGCCAAATATTTATTAAATAATAAACAAGGTTTAAAAGCTCATTTCAATGAAACTTGAAGACATTCAAATTTTAAAATTTTTTTCTGCAATGACTATAGGCACGATGTAATAATGAATTTTTCTTAATAGTTTTCAATCCAAGGAAGGATAAATTCATGGTGGAATAGATAACGTTTATTAATTTAGCGGAAACACCGCTATCTCATACTAGGCACTTATCTCATAAAAAGGAGCTTTCCTGTATATGTTTATTAAATTATGAACCATTTATTTCACAAATATTAGAAAATAGGGGTGAAAATAAAATAATCAGAAAAATCAATTAAAGATAAATATTAATTACTGTAATTTTCCAAAGTAATTTTAACATTTTCATTTAACAATTTTATCAAAGATGACTGTGAAATGTAAAGATATATGTGTATTTATATCATTATTTCTAATTATGAAATAAGGAGAGCTTGACATTTTTAATAGGATGTACAAGATAGCGTATAATTTATTCTATATATAGATATGATACAATTGTGTCTATGTTTTGGTCTATTATAGAACTAATTGTGCAGTCCGCTCATCCGCATTTGGATTTTTGCAATCTGGCAATTGCAAAAAACTTTGGATTTCTTTCTGTTCGTAGAACATACAGAAGGTTACTCTTGCAAATGAAAATTTGCATCATTATAGATTTCTAGAATAATATAGCTTTACAAATTTTATGATATTATATGTGAGTTAGATATACCCTATAACGGGTGATGCTACGATTTACACAATCATTTCAGATAAAAATGAATTCACAATGTAAGGTCTACGTTCTCTTATGTTACAAGTTTTAGCGCAGGCTATTTATCACGGCAGCGGTGAACTCCGTCGTCGAGCTTTGCCCACCCAGATCTTTTGTTAGCACCTTTCCATCGTTCAACACACGGTTTAACGCCTCCCGGATCTGCTCACCATAGCGTTTCAAATTCGCATGATTCAGAAGCTTCACCGCACATAGCAACATCGCCGTTGGATTCGCGACGTTCTTGCCAACCGCCTCGGAATACGTGTGCCTTGCGCCCTGTTGAAGAATACGAGATTCTAAAGCCTGATTGCACCGTTACTTTGATTTTAAGCGAGGCTTAAAACTCTTTCTGTCTCTTTTTGGCTTTAAAATAGAGTTTTAAGTCTCACTTAAAATTAAAGTGACATTGATGTAATTGGACCTAAGTAACTTATGTTTTAAAATTGGTGTATGTTAAATTTTAGAAATTCTTTTTAATTTTAATTGCACTTTGAATATAATTTTTTTGTCCAAATATATGTGTATATATATATATATATAAAATCAGATACATTACTGGTTCAAAGACGACACACTCAGCGCTGTAACTGGCACCTGCGACGACTCCGGCACCACCGACCAAACCGGACGCGAGATTATCCACAATATTTCCATACAAATTCGGCATTACCATAACGTCGAATTGATGTGGATTAGAAACCATCTGCATGGTACAATTATCGACGATCATCGTCTCGAACGTAATCCTGTTTCATTAAAAAATAGGAATATAAAGTA